GCTTAAATGATGTTGTTTCTTTTACTTCATTATCACGATTAAATAATGTTGTTTCGTTTACTTCACTATCACGATTAAATGGTATTGTGTCTTTTACTTCATTATCACGGTTAAATAATGTTTCTTTCACTTCATTATCACTATTAAATGATGTTGTTTCTCTTGCTTCATTATCACTATTAAATGATGTTGTTTCTTTTACTTTATTATCACGATTAAATGATGTTGTTTCTTTTACTTCATTATCACGATTAAATGATATTGTTTCTTTTACTTCATTATCACGATTAAATGATGTTTCTTTTACTTCATTATCACGATTAAATGATGTTTCTTTTACCTCATTATCATGATTAAATGAAATTTCTTTTACTTCTCTATCACGATTAATTGATGTTTCCTTTATTTCACTATAACTATTAAATGATGTTTCTTTTACTTCACTATCATCATTATCATCATTAAAAGACGTTGCCTTTACAATAGGTTTCTCTTCCGTCTTAACTTTAATTATGTTCGGTTTGAATACCGCCTTTTCAACTCTGTTCTCTGTAAATAATTCTGCTGTTTTAATTTCAACAACTTTTTCATCACGTAAAAACGGATCATCATTAGCATGAATACCGATGGAGAAATTTGAGATTAAGTTAGAGGTAGAAGATTTATTGTTGGATGGCTGTGAAAGTGTACTGCTGGAAGTTGATGATGGAGAACTTTTATTGTTTATATTATTATAATTCTGAGTAATTTGTCTACTAAAAGGTGTTATAGTTTCTGAAGACAATGTAGAAGGTTTGACAGATATTGGTTTGGAGGTTTCGGGAGTGTTCGTTCGTGAAATTTTTGATGGCATTTGCACATATCTCGTAGGGATGTTACTATCGGGATCATCATCAATAATAGGTAGAGTGGGTTCAGGTAATGTGGATTCTGAAGACGAATAGTTCATTGCTGCTATCTGTTTCTCTGATATTGCTGCAAGAGATTCAAAAATTTTTTCCGATGACGTATATTTAGGATATGATACCTAAATAATCGTATTGAATAATAGAAATGTTAGAATGCATAATAGTGAACCGGACTTTTTGGTCCACATGAAACTACCTGGTCTTCTAGAAAGTCATCTAGGCTTTGTGGTGGTGGCATATCCTCGTTTGCAAATGGCGCCCATTCTTTCATTTTCGTAATACACGGTCCACATTTCTTTAACGAATCGTTAAATGAAGCAAAAAAACCTTCTGTAAGACGGCAAACGGCTTGTGATACAACTGAATGTGTCTTTTTTTCACGCTTTATTACTTCATTTGTGTATTCTGTCTTTGCACGACTAATTTCTGAGCCGACAGTAGTCATCGACATCATATATTTCTATAAGAGTATTGGTTGATTAATATTATAAAAAAAAAAAAAAAAAAAAACACATATATACACGCATTTAATCTTTACATCATATGACTCTAGAGCTGATTGATTATCTCTCTTAGTTTTTTTCTCATAATCCTTGCCAATTTTTTTGATTTGCCTATCTAGGTCGCCGACATAGTCATTATGAGCCTTTTCATCTTTCTGTAAGTTATGAACAAACGGTTAATCTTTTTTTTTTATAAAATGGGATGAATACTAATCACAATAATAACAAATGTTTAACTTACAGTTGCTTTTTTTGAATATTTATCCCAAAGTTTTTGAAGTAAGTCAAAATCTTTTTGTACAAGTTTATTCTATTTAGTCATTAGATAAAATTTAGATAAAATTTAGTTGATTTAAAAAAAAAAAGGTATAACAATTGTAGTATAACCAATGATAAAATACCAATTTTCCTAAAACATCTGCATGGTTTTCGTAAAATTGGGATGAAGTCTGCATGCACATAACTATTATTCAATAATATTAATATAAGTTTCCAAATATTTCCAAACATTTATAGAAATCATTAAACACACTCACCATACGTAGTTTCTAGTCCTTTTCCATTCCCATAATCCTTCAAAGCTTTACTAAAATTCTTGGAAGCCTTACTTAATCACCAAGATCGATGAGAGACTGACGATTTTTTTTTTTAAATCTTTGGTTGTTGATTATTCTAATTGTGAA